GACACTCATGCCCTGAGAGAACAGGTAACAAGAACCAGAAGCTTGGGTCAACAGTCTAGGTGTACAAAAAGGTAAAACTAGCCCCAAGAATCCTTGGTATCAGTTACGATGGAGTAGGAACAGAAACAATGTCATAGATATTGAGCTAAATTGTTTCAAGGTTAGAGCTCCATCATCATTCATTAGGGCTACAATTAAGATTAGTGTTCAGATCAAAGATGGGATATAGCTCAGTTGGTAGAGTGCTTGCCTCACATGCACAAGGCCATGGGTTTAATCCCCAGCAAAACACACACACACACACACACACACACACCAAAAAAAAAAAAAAAAAAGAGAGAAAAGAACTTCTGGGCTTGGTGGTAAATACCTGCAGTAGTTTGGGAGGCTGAGGAGGGAAGATAACTTGAGCCCAGGGATTGGAGACCAGTTCGTCAAACAGTGAAACCTGGTCACTACCACAAGAACAACAAAAAGATGGGAAAAGGAAGAGTGCCCAACTATAGTGTGAACCAACAGAATTTCCCTTCACTCACATAAGTAGTAAATGATATAACGGTCCTTTTGAGTATATGTGAACGAACATTACAATATCAAGCAATTTAACATTTATCCTTGGGCTTGCTTTTTTTAAATTAAAAAAAAATATATTTTGTTTTAGCTGTAGTTGGACACAACACCTTTATTTTATTTTTATGTGGTGCTGAGGATCGAACCCAGCACCCTGCAAGTGCTAGATGAAAGCTCTATTACTGAGCCACAACCCCAGTCCTTGGGCTTGCTTTTTAGTTTTCTTCAAAGCCAGTTGATGAATAGTTTTAAAAAGCAAATTGTTTAATTAAGACTCCCCGAAAGGTTATTAGTCACTAGTGAAAGCATCAGATAAAGTACTTAAGTGTTCACATAGACATAAATGAGAATTTACTGATTGTTAAAATGAACTTTAGAGTTGTTCTTATTGGATTTCATCATTCCCCTGGTTAAGGATTTTTCCTTTTTGGGTTTTATTCTGAAGCTAACAATATACAGCTAAATTCTTTAAATTTTTTTTTTTTAGTTGTTGATGGACCTTTATTTTATTTATTTATGTATTTATATGTGGTGCTAGGAGAGTGTTCTACCACTGAGCCACAACCCTAGCTCCAATACACAGCTAAATTCCTAAGATGGTATGAACCATATCCTCTTTGCCTGTCTTCCCCATCTCTGTTCCTCCTATTTTCCCCTGTCCCACTGGGTTCCAGTTGCCCCTTTTTAGGTGATGCTAGACTTTTTCCTAGGTCAGGGTGGTTGCACATGTTCTTCTTTGACTGGAAGTTGTTTTCACTCTTTTCCTGGGTAACTTCTCTTCATCTTTTAGGTCTCAGTTTAAATGTCATATATTCAAAGATCTCTACACTCATTTATGTTTCCTTTGTAATTCTCTTAGCAACTTTTTTCTCTTTACTGTAACTGCATTTATGTATTTGTGCTTTTAAACTGTTTAAAGATTGCCTCTCTGATTAGAATGTGACCTCTACCACATATGGAGACATTATGGTTTTATTCATGACTGAAGCTGGGGAAGTGGAAAATGACAGAAGCAGGTAAATTTATTACAAATACATTCAAAGATTTAAAGAATAACAGTTTAAAGACTATTTAGTGGAGGGCAAAGTGTTAGTGTATGGCTAACACTAAATGGCTCCTGATGCTAAGACTATAATGCATATCCTCTTACAGATAAATTAAGAAACTAGGATATGCAGAAATTAGAGCCCTCATACATTGCTAATAGAAATGCAAAATGGGTATGGCCACTTTGGAAAAATATAAGTTCCTCAAAAAGTTAAACATGACGGGGCTGGAAATGTAGCTTGGTGGTAGAATGCTTGTTTATTTAGCATATGGAAGGCAGCTGGTTCAATCCCAGAACCACAGGGGGGAAAAAACATTAAACAAACATGGAACATGATTCAGCAATTTCACGCCTAAGTCTACAGAAATGAAAACACCTTCAGGTGGATATATAGTTGCAATATTCATAATAGCCTCAAAATAGAAACCCAAGTGTCTACCAAATAATGGTGGTATATCCATACAAAGGGATATTTGACCATAAGAAGAACTGAAGTACATGCTATTTTATAGATGAATCCAGATGATACACTAAGGGAAAGATGCAAGACACAAAAGGCCATAAATGATATAATTCATATGGAAAACAGATTAGTGGTTGCCTAGGTCTGGTGAAGTTGTGGTGAGTGTAACAGGTACAATATATCTTTTTTGGAGTGATAATAAAATGTTCTAAATTTAGATTGTGGTTAACAGTTGAATGTCTGAATATACTAAAAAACTCCACTGAACTGTATAATCTAAATGGGCAAATTTTAAGATATAAATTACAGCTAAACAAAAAGGTTAATAAAGTTAGCTGATGATAAGTGTGGTGGTACAAGTCTGTAATCCCAGACTTGGGAGGCTGAGGCAGGAGGACCACAAATGTGAGGCCAACTTGGTCAATTTAGCAAGATCCTGTCTTAAAAGATTCGTTATTCGTGGTACTTATGATATAAAAATCACTGAAGACACTGAAATACTCAACCATTGCTCCCAGGAGAAACATGGAATTAGGTTCATGGGAACTTCTGGTCACACTTTCATCAATCTATCAACATATAACCTTGTTTTATGTGTTTCTATTTAGAGATCTTGTTTAGTAGTGTTAATAACATTCAACTCACAGCTAATAGCATTGTAACTCAGGACTGAACAAAGGATCTAAAACATACTCTATATTTTTTTCCGTAACGTAACTTTCGACCTCAATACCACTCCTGAGGTCTATTTTAAAGTAAAATCAACAACAAAAAGTCCAAAAATGTGTTACTATATGCACTTCTTTACAGTATGAGAGCTGAAACAAGGCAAAGTGTCACCTCATTTGACCTTGGCTGGGAACCTGTGCTTTGGGTAATTTTTTTTTTTTTCTGTTCTGTGCATATAGTATTGTGAGTATTGTGGGGTTACAAATTAAATTTTCACAAGAGGGGAATTCAAAAGCAGGCTCTGAAAAGAGAGGATCAAATGTAGTTTAGTTTTCCTACTACTTATAAAAAAGGTTTTGAATTTTGAAGTCTAACCTTCAATTTCTTCATGATGCTGGATGGATAAAATGTAATATTTGGGGTGCATGTTTTATAAGTTGCTACCAGAAAAAGTCCTCATTTTATTATCCTTAGTTTTAGTTCTTTGGTATTTTTGAATAACTGTTTCATGCTACTGATTCCTGGGCTGAGCCAGTCCAAAGATAAAATGTTTACTTTTCATTAACAAAGATTTATTCTGAACTTTTCATCACAATTGCATTCCCTCTTTCCCCCAGAAAGAATATTCTGCCACCACCAGATATAATGAAAACATGTTTTAATTTTCAAACAAAAAGAAATGTAGTTATGTTCATATACACAATCTGTACTGCTTCCCAGGTATTTTTAAACATGTTTTTACACCCTAGCTATTGACAGTTTTAACTTTTAATATTTTTGTGATGCTGGGCATCAAACCCAGGCCCCTCTTTGTGCTAGCAAGTGTTCTACCACTGAACTGTACTCTCCAGCCCTTGACTCAAAATTTTGCAGAATTTGCTTCCAAAGTATTTTCTGCACTTTAATTTTAAAATGGCTTTAATGTCTCAAATCCTCTTAACAGAATTCGTCAGTTCTTGCTTATAGCTCCTTATAAGAGCCTTTGCTAAATTTAGAAATTTAGAGATAAATTCACTTTAGAGTTACAAGTAACATAATTTTGGCAGGGGGAGTAAAATCATAAATATCAAATGACTACCACATATCCACATTTCTGAATTTGAATAAGCTTAATCAAACGTCAGAATTTGGCTATAAAACGGTACTTTTTGGATTAGTATTTATACCCCTTTTTTGGTAATCAGTGGTTTTGTTTCTTTAAAAAACTATTCTTTGATTGCAATAGGCAAAAACCACTTGGAATTGGCCCATTAGTTTTGAATCTCCAAATTTGAATCTCTTAATTAAAACAGCAGGGCTTGATAGATACCCTTTTATTCATCAGTTTGAGAACCTAAAGCTCTAAGATATTGCAGGGTATTTTAGCTTCTTTGATCTCTCATAATAACTTGAATATAATAGACTCTTTAGGTCTTTCTTTTGTCATTCTATCCTGAATGCCAAATACTCATTTAATTGGCTCTTACTGCCCAGAAACCAATCCAATTAATTTTCTATGCCAATCCCAGAAGTTTTGAAGTTTCATCATTAAATACTACTATTCTCCTGCATGTGGGGACAACTCCTATTTTTAAAAAAATTTTTTACTGCCCACAATAGGTTTAATCTCCCCCTTATTTGGGAGTAGCAACAACATTAAGGACTGGTGGCAAATTAACAGGGGCCTAGAACTATCAAAATGATAGCCCTCTCCACTGCTATTCATAATCAATAAGTATGTTTGCCAGGATTTCTTATATTATTTTGATTAGCCAAAGTATAGAGATTTATATTCATTCTCTTGCTGGATTTTAAAGTCGACATAATTTATAATATTACATGAATAGGTGAATAAAACTGACCAAATAATGCTACATGCATGTAGAAATATATCACAATGAATCCCACTTTTATATAAAATTATAAAGCACCAATGGAAAAAAATACATAAAGAAATGGAAGGAATGGCAAAGAGTAGAAGAGAGGGGAAAAAGGAAGTACTGGGAATATATTAGGGCAAATTATGCATATATATGAATACTATATTTAATTATATTGCAATAGGGACATAAAAAAGTTATATAAACCGCCGGGAAAGATTGGTAATCAACCTCTATTGTCAACAATAAGAAATTATGATAAAGTTTTAAACAGTATAGTCATTCTTACATTGTGGCTAAGAGAAAAGCATATATGAAAAATAAGAACACACTGAGAAGCTTAATCATTTTTAAACATGAGAGGACAAACCAGAAAAATTTCAAATTCAGATAGATTTTCAAAGTTTTTATTTATATTTTGGTCTTGTAAATGGTCATTTTTAAATGGAACTTTTCAGTAAGAATGTAAAACACAAAAATTTGCTAAATATCGGATCTACACAAATCCTCAGAAAGGTTTTTTGTGTAGTCTTCATTAATACAAATCTTTGTGAATGTTTCACTCTCACTGCAGCTCTTGAATGTTTTACAATAATTAGGCTACCAAGTTTTTAAGCAGTACATTCATTACAAACTATAACTTTTCCATTAAAAAGAAAATAGGGTAATACACAAATATGAGAGGCTATGAGGATCAGGCGGTTGAGGCTTGGCATGTCTTATTTGCTTTGTAGTTTTCTGTTATTACTTTCAAAATAGCACACAGCACATGAGGCATAGCAATCATCTCTTATTAACCTCTCTAATTTAAAAATGGGTTGTACATAAACCAGACCAATTATCACAAACTATCATTTGCATAATTAACCAGAAGCCTATTACAAAGCATTTTGTTAGTGGTATAACAAATGCAGGAGGACAGAAATTTATTAAAAAAAAACCAAAAAACAAAAAACGGGGTTTGTGAAGCTTGCCAACTCCTTAGCTATCATGAGCTGTGCTGCCACTTCAACTTCTAATTAGATGTTTAATGCCTCACTGTAAGAGACTGAGCAAAACTATTTTCTAGGTGCTGTAATATTTCATTTGACAAGGTAACAAAATAGGCCAAAACTAAAGCAACATTTATATGCGTTCCAACTTTTCACTCAGGAATTCTTCTACACTGTCTGTGTTCCATTTGAGGATGCTTAGTTCTTCAGCAATGTTCCCATTGTCGTCCAAAAGCTTTAGTACAGGGTCTGAACCACGAACATACTACAAAACAGAGGAACATTATCATTATTTTCTCCTTAAAAAGAGCCTTCTAAGCCTCAACCACGATCAAAGCAGCTTAATTAAAATAGCAATTAAAAAAAGCTTTTAGAAATAACATCACAATCAACAGATCTTAAAGACGTCTTTAAAAAGAATTAAATATAATTTCACAGAAAATGAGAATTTAAAAAATTTACATTTTAATTCTCAAGAGAGAAATGTCTGTTAGTATCAAGACCCCAATGGTACTGAGGATTAAACCCAGGGGTACTCTACCACTGAGCTACATTCCCAGTCTTTTTTTTGTTTTCTTCCCCCAAAGAGAGGGCAACTAGGTGCATTTTATTTTTATGCAGTGCTGAGGATTGAATCCAGGCTTCACATGTGCTAGGCATTTGCTTGTTAAGTTGTCACGTATGGGCCTTGAACTAGTGATACTCCTACCTCAGCCTACTGAGTTACTGAGATTTCAGGTGTGTGCCATCATGCTAGGCAAGACAGTTTTATTATTATTAAATGAAACAAATGTTTCTTGCATACAGGACTCTTAAACTCAAATAAGCTAATATTTAATGGTGGAGGAAAGTAAATTCAAAATAATTAGAGACAGAATGCTTTTATAAGAGCAATGCTTCTGAGATAGGGATTTAGCTCAGTGGTAGAATGCTTGCAGAGAGGCCCAGAATTTTATCACAAGCTTCCCTCCTCACCCCCACAATGTTTTAAATTAGACTGTGGATAAAAAATCAGACAGAGAATCCCACACTGGGTCATAAATTTTCCTCAGCTTAAGAAAAATAATGATTTTCCAGTGATCACTTTTGAATTAGGCTGGGTTCTTTAAATTTCAGATCCATTAGTTAGGTCCAATAATGAGAGGGTTCTGAAAAATATTTACTCTGGACAAGGAAAGGCTGTAACAATAAATATGAACCCATTTATAACTAAAAATATAGCAATGATGAGTAAGGGAGCTCTTAAGAATCTTTTTCAGCAACTATGCTTCATATTGTTTTTTTTGTTTTTTTTTTTTTAAAAGATATTCTGGTGCTGTGAACTTAAGAGAGAGATAAGCTCTGATATGGTTATTAGCACTTGGTATATTCCCAAACCATTTGTGAAGTTTAGAAATATGGGTTCTCATTTTCACACTGTTGATGGCATTGTAAATTACAAACATTATGGGAATCATTATGGAGGTTCCTCAAAACATTAGGCATGGAACCACCATATGACCCAGCTACACCACTTCTTGGTATTTACCCCAAAGAATGTAAGTCATCATACAACAGTGATATGTGCATACCCATGTTTATAGCAGCACAATTCACGTTAGCCAAACTATGAAACCAGCCTAGAATGGATGAATGGATAAAGAAAACGTGGTATGTGTACACATATTTTATTTTATTGAGCCATAACAAAATATGAAATTATGTTATTTGTAGGAAAATGGATAAAACTTGAGACCATTATGTGAAGTGAAATAAGTCAAAATCTAAAGGTCAAGGGTCATTTGTTTTCACTCATATGTGGAAGCGAGAGAGGAAAAAGATAATGGGGTTGGGAAATATGAAAAACAAAGGGAGATCAATAGAAGAAAGGGATTAGGAGGTAGGAGAAGGCGAGGAAGGTGGGAAATGCTAGGGATTGATATTGGCCAAATTATATTGTTATATTGTGTGCATGTATGAATACATAACAAATCCCATCATTATGTACAGATACAATGCATCAATAAAAAATGTGGGGGAAAAAGGAAATATGGGTCCTCTGAATTAATAAATCAATGACAACAATACTATATCATTTCTGTTTAAAATTTTTCATTATTCAAAAGCTTATTTTAATCTAGCAAGAGAAATAAAAAGTTAGACAAAATTGGGATATACTCTAAGTATGCAAGGCTGCTATAACATTTGAAAATTAATTAATGTAATCTATCACTATTAACAGGTTAAATAAGAATCATCATATGATATTAACAGATACAGAAAAAGGGCACATGACAAGAAAATCCATCATCATCCATTCATGATTAAAACTCAATATATTATGACTAGAGGAAACTTTATCAACTTGATAAACCAACAACTGGGAAAACTAGATGCTTTTCCCTTTAGATTGAGAACAAGGCAAGGATGTCTCCTTTCATTATGCCTATTCAACGCTGTACCTGAAGTCCTAGCTAATGTAATAATTCAAGAAATGTACAAGTTATGAGGTGTTCAGATTGAGAAGGAAGAAATGGGACAGTTTTTATTCACAGATAACACAACTATCTTTAGAGGGTATTCCAAAGAATCAACAAAAATAATCATAAAACTAGGGATGACAGCAAGATTCAAAATATAAGGTTACAAAAGTTAACTGACTTCCTATCTACCAGTAATAATTATGTGGAATTTAAAATTAACATATAAATACCATTTACATTAGCATCTATTATAGTTTGCATCTTAAATATCCCCCAAGGCTCATGCATTAAATCCTGAGTCCTCAGCTTGGCACTACTGAGAGGTGGTAGAACCTTTAAGAGATGGAGTCTGGTGGAAGTTTTTCCATTCACTGGATATATTGTGGGCCACAATACTCTTCAAGCTCAATCTCTTCCTCCCTTTCTTTTGTTCCCAGTCATGAGGTAAATGGTTTTGTTCTGCTGTGTGCTCATGCCATAATGTGTTGTCACAGACCCAAAGCAACAGGGCCAATCAGTCAGTCATAGACTGAAATCCCCAAAACTGTGAGCTGAAATTAGCCTTTCTCTTTATAAACAGATTTATCTCAGGTATATTATAGTAACAAAAAGCTGACTAGCATAGTAACAAAGGAAGAGAAATCTTCTCTCTCTCTCTCTATATATATATATGTATTTGTTAGATTTATATGAGAAAAATGACAAAACTGATGAAAATAATCAAAGATCTAAAATAAAGATATATTTTTTATTAGAGCATTATAGCTATACATAGTAGGTGGGCTAATTTTGACATCATAGAATTTGATTTTGATCCCCATTCCCCCCACTTTATTTCCCCCTATTCTCTCCTCTACTCCACTAATCTTCCTTATTTCCCCCCTCCTTTCTGGTACTGACGATTAAACCCAGGGGTGCTCAACCATTGAGCCACATCCCCAGTCCTTTGATATTTTATTTAGAGACAGGGTCTCATTGAATAGCTTAGTGCCTCGATAAGTTGCTGAACTAGCTTTGAACTCACGATCCTCTTGCCTCAGCCTCCTGAGCAGCTGGGATTACAGGCATGCACCTCTGTGCCTGGCACTAATCTACTTTTGCTTGCTTATTTACTTATTTTTTTTTTAAAAAAAAATATATATTTTTAGTTGTAGAAGGACACAATACATTTATTTATTTATTTTTATGTGGTGCTGAGGATCGAACCCAGGGCCTCACATGTGAGGGGCAGGTGCTCTACCACTGAGCTACAGCCCCAGCCCCTATTTATTTATTGATTGGATGCTTTCTACATAATACACAATGAAGTTCCCTGTGGTACATTTATGTGTGCATATTATGTGATCTTGTTGAATTCAATCCAAATTTCCTCCCCTTTCTTGTCCTTCCTCCTTATCTCCTTTACTCTACTGATATTCCCTATATTTATGATATCCAATCTCCATCCCTGTCCTCACCACCTAAAGAATGTTATTTCACATTCATACTTAGGTCTTGCCCTCTGCTTCCTGATTGCTGCTTTCATCCACCACACCCTTCTGCTAAGATGTTCTATCTCATCTTAGCCCCAATAAATGGAGTTGGCTATCTTTGGACAGAAACCTTTGAAACTCTCAGCACCAAATAAACTTTTTCTCCTCTAAAATTATTCTTGTGACGTCTTTTAGTCATGGTGTGAAAAAACTGACTAAAACAAACTCTAAATGCAAATGATGGAATTTACTTAATACTAATATATCAATATTGGATCAATAACTGTAAACACTGTTACAACAGGGGAAACTGAGGGTGAGGGTCAAAGAGTATATGGAAACACTCAAGAAAGCTCAGCTTTTCTGTAAACGTTATACTGTTTATAGTAAACTAAAAAATAAAGCTTAGTAATTTCAAAATTTTAAAAATTTATTTACCCAAGTATTGATTTTAATACCCAAAAAACTGAACACTGGGGGAAAAAAAAGACTGCATTTTAATCACCTTACCTTGATTTGTAGTCCTCTGAATAGTTTGGGTTTATCACTTCTGACGAAAGCTGAAAAAAAAAAAAAAGATTCAAATTCTTCATTTCCAAATCCAAACTGGCTACAGATATAAATATAAAGAGTGGAAATAAACTTAACAAATGAAACTTTATGTCCTACGTTTAAAAAACTATAAAGAAATTTAAACAATGACTTATCCTAAAGAGAAGACTAATATTGAAGACATTGTTAAGTGTTTTAATTAAATCCCCACATTCCGATGGAAGTTTTAGAAATTGACAAAATTCTTACATATGTACACTATATTATTATTACATTATAGTGTAGCTCAGTTGTAAGAGTAAACATGAGTCAGGTGCGGTGGTGCATCCCTGTAATCCCAACTACTAGGGAGTCTGAGGCAGGAGTCCAAGTTTGATATCAGCCTAGGAAACTTAATGAGACCCTGTCTCAAAAGAAAAAAGAAGAGAGCTGGGGAGTTAGCTCAGTGGTAGAACACTTTACTAGAACATTTGAGTTAAATACCCATACTGCAAACAGATAAACACAAACAACAAAAAAATAAATATATGAGAGCAGCCAGGGTAGTTTAAAAAATTAAAATATAAAGGAAGAATTTGTTTAGTAATGTACTATGTAACAGTAATACCAGAACATTTTAAACATACAGATTAGGAAATTTAGAGAGAGAAAAATATCTTAAAGAGTTTTTAAAGATGACACAGCTATCAAATTAGAGTGGAGGAGGGAGATATTCAGAACAACAAAAGATTTTAGAATACGAAAGGTTAAAGAGGAAGAGAGAGAGATTTTGGTGGAGG